AAAGGAAAGGAAAGGAAAGGAAAGGAAAGGAAAGGAAAGGAAAGGAAAGGAAAGGAAAGGAAAGGAAAGGAAAGGAAAGGAAAGGAAAGGAAAGGGAGAAAAGAAAGGAAAGTTTGAGTGTCTTCTTTAAGATCACACCTTAAAGAAGGTGTGAGTATGCAGTTGGAATTATAATTCCTGCCATATTTCCGCATCAGTAGTAGTTTCATTCTTACATTGGAYGTTTTTTTATAACTGATGTTTTTGAAGGCATTAAAGTCTGTGTTTTGTCTGTCAGAAGAACAGAAGCCCTTTGAAATAAAAGGCTAATGAGCTGCATCTTAAAATTACAAATAGGTACTGCAAAATTATTTGTGGCTGTTTATGGCTATGAAAATACACACTCCCRCTGGGCAACCTGTTTCAGTGTTCAAACAAGCACATGCTTGTTACAAGCATTAATATGTTAATATATATTTAATATAACAACATTGTTCCATAATTTTGAAGTAATCAAAGAGTATCATATCACWTAAATAGTAAAACATTGCAGTTCARTGCTCAATTTGTTTGATTCCATCTAACTGAACGTGAGACCAAAGCCAGACTTTAAGCTTTAATAATAATAAMCTTTGAAGGATTTAATCTGGCAATAGGCTGTATTTATGACAAGCTATGCTGCATTTCTTCTTCACATGCTTTGTGCTTTTTGGGGTGTCAAATATTAGGTACCACTGAATTCCAGATGACTTCAGCATAAACTGTCTCATGACCTTGATTTGGAATATTTCTTTTATGAAAAGAAAATACCTAATTTTTATTTTCTGTTAAAGCTTATCCACTGAACAAGCTAAAACTGATACATTCCAACTTGGAGGAAGATCCTGAAGATGTTCGGATGGAATTTATCAAGTACTTCAGAAGCATTATCACTATAATGAACGAAAGCAGAGAGAGGGAAGAAATGTCAATTATCTCACAATGTTAAAAAAATACTGAATCATGGAAAAAAGGTATACTTTTCTCTTTGTAAGCTATCCTAGCTTGTGAACAGACCTTTCCAAGGAGACTTTGCCAGCCTGTTAACACTTCAGCCTATAAAAAACTGCTGGCATCAGGTGAACTGTGGTACTGAGGAGATGGGTGCAMGTCCAGGAATTTGAGCAACTTTGTAGCTGCACTTTGGCATCAGAGGCACAGGAAGGTGGTGTTTTTTATATTAGTGTGGACCAAAATATAAAGATTGGGTCACGTCTTTAGAATTCCTTTGTGCAGGGGTGCTTGGAGAAGAGAGCCTGGCAGAACATAAGATTGTGGAGTTCTGCTGAACTGTGTGRGTAAAGTGTGCATGTTAGGTGGGTTCCTGGAGAAGTTTTGCCTTTGGGAGTCAGTACAAACTGATTGGAATAGAAATCTGAGAAGTAGTCATGGTGTGGGATCCACTATTTTATGTTCTAAGTTGCCCTTGTCTTTCTCTTGAAGAGAGCACATTGKGCAGCCATTGCCTTGGCAGGACTGAGCAGGTTGCAGTCTTTCTCAGGACTACGTTTTTCTCCTATTCCACCAAAATAAACATRTTGTGAGGACAGTGTTTAGGTCTCTCTGGGAGGAAGGAATTGAAATCTTTCTTTAGTGCAATATTTTGACTTATGTCAGGAGCTCCAATAAGTTCTGCATTCTTCAGAGAAGAAAAAGCTGTTTTGAAACTTTTAGTGTTCCCTGTTGCATTGAAATAAGTGGTTTCATAGATAATTTAGTTTCTGATTTGTTTGGTTTGCCCTCATACTTGTTCTTAGTGTGTTTTGCTGTGGAAGACATTTTTTTGTAACGTGCATTACTAAGGCAATAAAAACGTTTTAAAAATGCATCCTTTTTGTTCTCAAAGGGGCAGTTAATTATGGCTTTGCGGAATTCTTAGCTTAAATTTTCATGAAGAAAATAGTGATGAAGTTGTAGTGCATTTCAGCCTACAACAAAAGACATTTACTAAAACTTGGATCCAAATACCCAAAGAAATTACACCAACTTGACACTGTCTTTTGTAAACATCTTTTAGAGAAAGTATGTTATAAACCAGAAAGTCCTTAATGTATTTCAGTTCAAGACAACAGGAGTGAGAGATTCTTGGGTTTTTCAGTGATTTGGGTTAATTAATTTGCCCTTTTCCCTCTTTTCATAGTTCTTTTCTGAGTAGTGAATARCCTGTCCATGTGCAAATGGCATGGGAGGTCAAAGCTTAAAAGATGTTTGAACAGTTCCAGTTCCTGTTCTGTCATTAAAGCTAAAAGCTACCTTTGGTTCTGGGAGGCAAAGAGGGGGTGGTACTGAAGGAAAACAYCAGTGGGAGGAAGGATACCAGGAAACAAGTAAAATAAGCAGAAAAAGATGAAAAGAATAGGTTGGAGTTGAATAGTGGAAGGTTGGCATTTCAACATCTACATTTTATTTATATGACTTTTGAACAATCAGGCTTTCTGTGCTTGCAATCACKGTCATAGGGTGGTCTGTTGGAGGCAGTTATTGGAAAATCCACAGTCTAACTAGAGAACAGTTTTACACGCTRCCTTAGATTACTTTTTCCTTGTTGCCAGCTGTGTGGTACTGGAGCCAATTTTTAAAATATACTGCCTTAATAAATTCAGTTTTTCCCAACAGCAACATTGTGATATTTGCTATTAAAAGGCTGGTGTGAAACCTACCAAGTATTTTAYTTGGAATATAAAACAGTGTTTGGGTGATTCCAGGGTTGAAAAGTCAATGAACTCTCCTGCTCACCTTGCTTCATATAAAATGTTRATCCTGATCTTCTTTAAACTCATGAAAAGGTTGTAAATTAAAGATATCTATAGATTGCAACACACTGTTCAAAGAAGAAAARCAGTGTTAGAACCAAAGACAGATGCCTAAACTTGACTTTGTATCATCCAACAATGCCGTAATACACAATAAATATGGAACATCATTCATAAAATCTGGCCAAGAGATGAATTTTTGTCACTGCTGAAGAACAGTAAGGGCATAGACTCATGCAAAATTAATCCTTATCCTGGAGAAGGTAACAGAAAAGTATTTATTCATAAGTATCTTTTATTAATGATTTATGAAGGAGTCCATCAGAGACACCCAGTTAGGAGAGAGGTGTGAGAATGCCAAGGAACACATGCTGGGTCTCTGTCTCTGCCTTTTTGTGCTCTCACAGCCTGCAGAGCCCCAAGTGGTGCCATATCCAGGCGTTACTCAGGCTGTGCGTGTGCAGTTGTGTCCCTGTGCCTGAAGCCCGGTGGTTGGTCAGGGGCTGCTCTCTGCTCTGTCCATATTTCTGCTTGGGAGCCCAAAGAAGTGCCAGGCAAGTGTAAAGGAAACTGGRAGCATGTGGTAATCAGCCACCAGCCAGCTGCCAGGCTGTGGGTTTGACTAGGAGTAGGAACCATTTAGGAGCAGAAGAGAACAGCAGCTTTGCATCAAGAGCACTCTGATTTTATTCTTTCACGCTGGAGGACCTTACCACCATGGTGGGAAGTTTGTAAAGCCTTTTTGGAATGAYCTTTCCAAGAAGAGGAAGGCAGAGAACCAGTGAAGTCTGTCAGCTCCTCCAAAATGTAGCCTTCTCTAGCTGTCCTCAGTGTCTTAGAGTGAATAGGTCATGTCCCCTTCTCACCCTGTCAGCAGCCATAAACTCCAAAACGTGGCTTTGTATCAGCTCTGCACAAATTTGGAGTCTACAAGTTCCCTGTCCTTTTCTGTGGATCCCTGTCCATACTGSAATTCAGTGGTTATTTCTTCTAATGGTTTTTCTGTCATGGTTTGGGGAACTGAGGCTGGAAGCAGGAGCTTAGAACACTGTAAATATTTATGAGTCCAAATAAATTCAGCCTCCAGCATGCAGAGTTCAAAGTCTCCAGGATATGCCAACTGTGCAGTGAGAAAACAACCTGTCACTTCAACAGAAGTTATTCAGGTGCAACATTATTCTGTCACTTGGCACTGGCTAATGGTAATCCTGACATCTTACATAATTTTATTTATGATATACAAAAATTATTTTCAATGTTTTTTTACTGTACAGCTACAAAACCCTTTATAGCTGTACGTGAGCTCTGCTCAAGTTCACACTCACCTCCCTCCAATGAAAGCACTTGGTGCATCATTGCTTTGGATAATTGACCTGTCTGGACAAGGAGTCAGCATGAAAATTTTGTAGGGAGCAGAGTCCAAGGAACTCTGCAGGGCTAAAATGCAGAATTTCCAGACTTCAGGGTTATATCCGTAAAATTAAAGACTGTGGTTACTTTGCAGATGGGTCATTGAAGATATTTAAGCTCTTCAGTTATAAGAGTTTGCTCAGGTTACCCCTAACAAGCTGTTTTCAGCACACACAGAACATTGTGAAGYGAGTAACTTCTGGTGATGATGAAGACAGTTACAGGCAGTGAAACCCAGATGTGTGACTTGTTTACAACTGAACTTTGGGAGTAGCAGCAAAGYTGAATGAAATACATTTGGACCTTACAAAAAAAAATGCAGCTTTCTTTTCAAGTCATATATTTTGAAGGCCAGGCCTTTGGTGTCAATTRCTCTCAGCAGTATTGTTCTAATGGACACAATAGACATAAGAATTCCCACGTTCCTATTTTTATTATTGTGCTGCCAAGTGACTAACAGGAGTCACGTAGCCCCCACATTGAGGAGTGCCCATCCATGCTGGGGTTTTGCATGCACAGTTTAATATGTGCTGACCTGCAGATGCTTTAGGAAGCAGCTTACAGAAGGTATCCAGGACCTCTTAAATCASATTTTAAACAACTCAATTTTTCAACAGGAGTGCATTGCTCTAAAGGTCAATTGTGTTTCCTCTTACCACTTCTCCAGAATTCTTCACTGGTGGAATACTTGGTGCAGCAAAGAGCCTCCAAAGTACCAATTTACTTTGTTGAGAACTTGCCTWCCCCAAGATGCTAGAAATGCTGCAACAGTAATTCCCATAGTTTTAGTCAGTGCTTTTCATGCTCACACAGACATCCTGGCACTAGGAAGTACCAGACACCATGTACTGCTACTCTGAGCAGTTCAGGGGTTAATTCCTGTGCACAAAGCAAGCCCTTTGTCACTTCAGGGGTGCATTTTTGCATTGATCCGTACACATTATTCACTCAGGACAAGATTCCTTCCCCCTTGGGTGACTGAGCTTTGCAAAACTAGATACCTTGGAAAGACACCTGCTTGAAATTTGCTGAGAATTCACCCCATGAAAATCCGTTCATCACAAACCACAGTGGGAACCTCTCACCTCGTGCTGGGATCACCAGTGGGATGGAACTGAGTTTTGCAAGTCTTGCTCAAGTTTGGCCACCCATGCTCAGAAAGATACACTGAATCAGGAAAAGGACATTGAATGAGAGAAGAAAGAAACGATTACATAAGAAGTGTTGTTCTTTTCACTCTAGCAACACAKCAAGGGGATATGCTTGATATATGCAAATATATCACAAAGAAAGAAAATTGACTGCATTTACTTGGACATGAGGTAACAGGAGCAATCAGCAAAGCAGGGATGCTGTTGTTAAAGGGCTAGAYCATTCTAACTAAGGTACACAAACCTAAATATAAAAGACTCACTTACCATCTGCTGCTTTTGCTTATTACCCCCTGCCCTTGAATTGTATGCAGGAACAATTTGACTTTGAAGACAAAACGAGCTTGCATCTAAGCTTTTTTCTTTCTTGATGACACAAAAAGCAGAGGAAACCTAATACATTCTGTTTGTGTATAATAATCTAAACTAAAAGGCAGCTTTGGCACAATACTGTAYGTGAGAAAACTATTCAACCAATAACTCTAGTCTGGAAATTGAAGGAAGTTTCTAATAGAACAGGAGAAACCTGGTTGCAGAACAGTGTTTAAGTAGCAGTCTGTGATATATTGTCACTTTACATGATTCTTCTAGTCCATCTCTTATAAGGTATTTTTCTTCAGAGGTGACAGTGAACCAGAACACCAGTGCCAAGCTTCCTTGAACTTTGAGGAACTTGGATTCTGATTCATACTTCCCAGCTGGAGATCAGCTGAAGGTTGTATTTACACATATGCAGAAAAAATAAAGCAATTCTATCAACTTGTATGAGAAGAAAGGTAACAGATTTTCTCACGTGAGCCTCACTTTAGAGAAAACTGCCTGAAGATGGGCACTGGGTTTTGCTTGCATAACCGTCAGACAGAAACAAAAAAAAATACCACATATTTTACTGAGTTCTATTGTCTCTCCCTCCCTTGTAAGGAAATTAAAGCCTACTTCTCTCCTAGTTTCATGAAATCTATCTGAATCCTGGTAACATGTCTCTGAGAAATTGCACAGAGGGAATAACAGACAAGGGTACACCCTCCATTGCTATGTTACTGCTCCATGAGTTCCAGACAAAAGCATTTCTTGTGGTTTGGCAGCAAGCATCTACTCCTAAAACCCTGGGATTGCATTGTTCTTTACATGTCAAAAGTTGATTTAGTACCTACAGGCACAGATTGCAGAGTCCATGTTTTTAGGAGGGATCTTCAGGTTTTCTAGGCTGCTGGGGTCACCTCTCACAGCCAGTGACACCAGTTGGGGCAGTCACACCCAAGTGGACTCGAAAAACAGGCCCTCATGTCTGCCCTGCAATGAATATTCCAGGTTTTTTATCCTGACCTAGGTTAAATGGTAATACTCCAGAAACTGAGTAACTGACTGCCAGGCCCATAATAACAACCCTGAATCATTAAATAAAGATACATCTTCAGGATAGATTATCGTTAAGGCTCCAAAATAGTTCTGCTGTGCTTGGAATTCTAATAATGGTAGGCAAGCTTGACTGGAACCTCTAATGATACAAAGAT